ACAGCATCATCTTTCAGGATTTGAAAGAGTTCCACTGGAATTCCATCACCTCCACTAGCTTTGTTCATAGTGATGCTTCCTAAGGCCCAGTTGACTTCACATTCCAGGATGTCTGTCTCTAGGTGAGTGATCCCTAGGTGAGTTAATCCCTAGGCAAGTAGAATTGATGCCATGGCTTCAAGTGCTCATAACTCTCAAATTTAAACCACCAATCTTACCCATATCCCTGAAATCTAGGACATTTCATTCCAGTGTCAAATAATCATCATAAACTTGAAGTCCCACAATGAATTCATGATTCCCTGTCTACTTCAAAACCAGCTCCTCTCTGCCTTTCTCCTGCCTATCCCACAGGGCTACATATCTCACTAAATAATATTAGCATTCTACCAGTCGTTCAGGCCAAAACTCATGAAGCCTCCTTTACTTTCTCTTTTTCTCAGCCTTGAGCTCATCTCTCCATATTTCCCATTGGCTCACCTTCACAATTTATCTAGAAAGCAACCACTTCACCTTCATTCTACTATTAATCTCCTAGTCCAAACTACCATCATTCTATGACTGGATTAAGGTGATTTGCCTTTGAATTAGCCTGTTTTTACTCTTGACTTTGTCCTGTTTATAATTTACAGAGAAGTCAGAGTAACTCTCTTAAAAAATAAATCATATCTAGTCAGTCCACTGTTCAAAACCATAAGCAATTTCCCATATTGAAATAATGTCCAAATATATTAATGTATGGATATGTGTGTATATTTCAGAGTAAGATCCAGGACCGTTATTATTACCTTCAAGATCCTACAGTGTCGATGTCCATAGTCATTCTCACCGTGCTTCCTTCTGCTTACTTTGCAAAAGCCACAAGATTCTCCTGCCGCGTGTCAGGCACACCACAAAGCTCCGTCTCCAGCTCTTCTGTTTGCTGCTCTCTGCCCTGAACGTAGACATTCCCTGTCTCTGATCAATAGTTACCACTTTAAAAACAAATGATCGCTTTAAAAATGGGATCCCTTGAAACCTTCTGTCCTTTCATCATGTGTGCTCTTTTCATGGCAGTGTTCACTATCTGGACTACATTACCTATCTATTTGATTATTTTTCTGTCCAAATTGAACATAAACTCCTTGAGAGCAGGATTTTATCTGTTCCATTCACAGATGAGTCCCAGATCACGAAGCAGTGACTGGCATACAGCAGACCTCAAATAAATAAATGTTGAGTGAATGAATCCAGAGGTAAGAAAGAGCAGAATGTAGAGCACTTGGAGTGGCCGATTTGGACCACAAAGAGGAAAAACCCTAAACAAAATGGCCTCGACTTCCTATTGGTATCCAGAACTCCAGTTCTAATCAAGAACCAGGCGGTCCAAATTAAGGAGCCAAAATTGAGTGAGGCATTTCTAATGGGCATTGAGTCCTGACTGAGCCGGTGTGCCTCGTTGCTCAGTCGTGTCCGACTCTGTGGGACCCCATGGACTGTAGCCCGCCAGGATCTTCTATCCAAGGGCATTCTCCAGGCAAGAATACTGGAGTGGGTTGCCACGCCCTCCTCCAAGGGAACTTCCCAGCCCAGGGATCAAACCCAGGTCTAGCTGGACACTTAGCTAAATATTGAGCTCTCAGAGATTGTTCAGAAATGCTTCCTGAGTTCCGAAAGTTTGTTGATGAGGAAAATTTACAAATGAATACAATGTACTCTGGTAAGTAAAATAGTAGAGGAATAGCTCTATAAATATTTTATAAAGGTCCAAGTTGGAAAGGGCTTATACTGAGCCAAATACAGCTGAGTTGGAGAAGACATCAGAAAGGATTCTTGTGCTAAATTAGTCTGTTAGCTAAAACTCTGTATATAAAGTATGTCTTTTAACTTCTCAAAAATCGACTTAATGAAGAATAATAATTTATTCTTAGAAAGTATAAATTATTCATAGAAGACTTTAATCTAATTAATATCCTTTCCCCTTGACATATTAGACACAAATGGTTTTCATGTTGGTCTGTATAAAGGAAAGGTCAAAAGAGAATAACATAGCCACTGAGCACAATACATGTCAGAAATGTGACATATTCTCAGTTAAATTTTTTTAATATTTACACAAAACTCATCAAGCATCTGAACAGTGACTTTGGGTGTTGGATGTGTAGTGTTCACCTCAACTAAGCAGATGATATAGATTAAAAGAGATTTTAAGAAAGAAAAAATGAGTGAAAATATATTGCTGACATTACTTTTTCTAATCTTTGAGAAACTACTTTTAAGAAGTGGTCTATCAGAAACAAAATTATTTCCATGTGTCATTAGAACAACATCTGTGTTTTTGTTGGTATATACTCACCTTAATTACTTTGTCTATGCATTTGAAGGAAAACTTCTATAAACTGAAGGATAGAGATAGTATAAATAAACCTAACTAGTTGTTATAATATAAAGCAAGCATTTTGAACTGTTTCCTCCATTCCACCATCCCCCCACACCTGCACGTTGCCCATATACACACACCCACACACACACATACATTTTACCTGGTTAATTAAAATGTCTGCAATAGCTTTAATCTTATATTGAGTAGTTTAGTGCGCCAGTAAAGTCCTAAAATCTCTAAAGTTCTTGTACACATTCTCTCAGCTGATAACTACAACTTTGACATGTAAAATCAAAAACCCTTCTTTCTACTATTGGACATTAATTTTTCATTCATATATTCCAGGTAGATGAACACATATTCAAACTCATCCCCCAGCAGAACTGATTGGCATGAAAACCCTTCTGAGGGTAAGTTTTGATACAGTTTTGGGCCTCTGGAAGGTTTGGGGTCAACTGGGTAGGTGAAAGAAAGAACAAGAGTAAAAGGTGAGGATAACTGAGCATTAAGATCTCTTTATTTTATAAGTTGGCTAAAGAATGCATCTAGTCTAAATTTTATTACTTTAAAAAGGTGTCCTAGAGAAACCTCAGGGCTTAGTCATAGTCAATATTTTAATGCAAACAATATATATAATTTATGGTCATTAAGACTATTAAAATGTTCTGGCAGAGGATTCCAACAACTGATGAGCTGGATAGAATTCTCCAGAGTCGGAAAATGCATTAGCCTATTCAATCTTTTGAAAACAAATAAGAGAAGGAAGCACATTGCTTACCTTTTTGAGAGGGGTCATTGCTAATATTGTGTGTGGGTCTAAGGCTAACAATTGGTTGTTTGGCTAGTAGACATTTTCATATTGAACTACCAATAAGCTTCCGTTTGGTTCTGATATCCATTTGTTCATTTCAACTAACCAGAATTCTTTTGGAGCCAAGAATCAGCATAGTAGTATTACCCTTTCTTCCATGTATTGCTTTACAGGTGGACAGGTATTCTAGTTTCAACTAAGAAGACCCGAGAAGAGATCTGCTGGGGGCTTCTGGAAAAGCCGTCTTCACTCCAAGTTACTGAAGAAGAAATGATTCTCTTTCTCACACTAAACACAGGTGGTATCTTCAACAAAGAGATGAATCTGTAACAGTCATTTTGCAATTAAAAAGAGACTCAGCCTGGGGAAATTACACCGGTATAGTGGGAGGCATGAGGACAGAAAGATACAAGAAATTTTGCCCCAGATAACATCATTGATTTGCAAAATTAACTAAACCTGAAAGCATTTGATCTCTGAACTTTTTATTTGCTTTTTGTTTGTTTGTTTGTTTTGCTATGATTGTTTCCTTATTGTTGAAGCCTTTTTTGTTATTTGCAGCCAAAATCGTGTTAACTGTATAGAATCAAAGAGAAGAATCATGCACAGCAATCGTTCTAAAAATGCATTATTAAATTACAAGGCACAAAACCCAAGTTTATTCACTATGCTTCAAACTGAGAGTTCTTTATTCCTAATTCTCACAAGCAGATAAGGAAATACATTGCAAATACATTGCAGCTGAGGAGTGACTCAGCCTGGCACATTGCCTGTCAGGAATTGTGTGCTGCTTTGAGCACCTCTCATCAAACATTCACCCCAGAAGTGTAAGTATGTGCATTCAACCGATATTGATTAGACACTCATTATTGAAACCAGGGATGATATGGAATATAGCAGAAATTTAAAATGAGATCTCTGCTCTCACAATGCTGACCAGCAAGCTAAAAAAACAAGGCAAGAATGAGCAAAAAAAAACAAAAAAAAAATACAAAAGAGGTTGTCAGAAACAGTACAAAACCAAATGCTAAATAGATGATGTCAAAAATTAAGTCCTGAAAAGAGAGAAAAGTAGTATAATTTGGAGCACTCAGTAGAGTGGATGGAGTTTACATTAGGCCTATTAGACAAGATTAACTGATTAATCAAGATTAATTCATTAATTGATTAGACAAGGCCTATTAGACAAAAGTTCCAAAAAACATCTATTTCTGCTTTATGGACTATGCCAAAGCCTTTGACTGTGTGGATCACAATAAACTGTGGAAAATTCTGAAAGANTTCATCCTAAAGATCAGTCCTGGGTATTCATTGGAAGGACTGATGCTGAAGCTGAAACTCCAATACTTTGGCCACCTCATGCGAAGAACTGACTCATTTGAAAAGACCCTGATGCTGGGAAAGATTGGGGGCAGAAGGAGAAGGAGACAACAGAGGATGAGATGGTTGGATGACATCACCAACTCAATGGACATGAGTTTGGGTAAACTCTGGGAGTTGGTGATGGATAGGGAGGTCTGGTGTGCTGCAGTCTATGGGGTCATAAAGAGTTGGACATGACTGAGTGACTGAACTGAACTGATTAGGCAAATAGAATAGGGAGATTCAGGAAGGAAGAGGAAAGATTTTTCAGTGATATTTTTTGTGCATGGTACCTTATTGGATACCATAATTGTATACCATATTGCTCTCTAGAGAGCAAGGTATCTCTAGAGAACATAAAGCAGAAAAATGATGTAAGAGAAGAATCAGAAACAAGAGAGACACACAAATTTTGACTGACTCTGGAAGTCTTCAATATCAAGCTAAGAAATCTGACCTTGACTACATAGGTAAGAAGATTACTGGTGGTTCTAAGGAGAGAAGTATAATACCATGGTGAAAACAGTCTTCTTGAAGGCGAAATCTGGCATCTTGGTGAAGGACTGGAAGGGAAGAATGAAAGCAGAGTGTCAATGAATAGGCTATTGCAAAAATCTGCTCTTATGTGGAAAAGCTATACTCACAATACACATCATTAGGCAATACTGTTGCTTAGAACTAAATTGACTTGAATGAAATTGACAATTCAATCTTAAGAAAACCTGGTGCAAGGTATTTGACACTATGGAGATTAATAACAAGATGTTGAATGCTCTTTCTCTTTTGGAAACTATCATTATTTTGATAGAGTTTCCTGTTCAATGAGTTTTCAGTTGATACAAAGAGGGAAATGGAGATCAATGGCATATGGCTCCTCATTCCATTGTTGCTGTTAATTTATGAATGTGGGATCTGCCCAGAGTAGTCAGTAACCTCCAGTAGCCAAGTTGGAAAACAAGGATGTCGCTTCTTCCTAACAAGATTTTTGTTACTACTTATAGTCTTTAATTATGAGATTTGTTCAGCCTTTCATTGTACCATCTTTCATTATGAAATTCATTTATTCATCCAAGCATTTATTCATTCATTTATACTTGTTATCCACAAATACTTATTGAGGGTCTCAGTGTGCTAGCTGTTCTGTGCTTATTACTGCTGCTGCTGCTGAGTCACTTCAGTCGTATCCGACTCTGTGTGACCCCACAGGTGGCAGCCCACCAGGCTTCCCCATCCCTGGGATTCTCCAGACAAGAACACTGGAGTGGGTTGCCATTTCCTTCTCCAATGCATGGGAGTGAAAAGTGAAAGTGAAGTCGCTAAGTCGTGTCCGACTCCCAGTGACCCCATGGACTGCAGCCTGCCAGGCTCCTCCGTCCATGGGATTTTCCAGGCAAGAGTACTGGAGTGGGGTGCCATTGCCTTCTCCAGTGCTTATTACTAGAGATACTTAAAATATAAATAAAATAGCCTCTTCCCTGTTTGGAGTTCCTGCTCTAGTTGGAGAAGGCTCCCAGGCACTACAAGCTACAGTGACCATAGTCTGTCGTCATAAGTTTTATGATGAGATCAACACAGGCCTCACTGAAAGCACACAGGAAAGGAAATGAACCTATCCTGGAAATCACAGCAAGGGGGATATCGCCATTCTATTTCTACACTTCACAGCTGTGTTATCTTGGGCATAATAGTTACCCTATCTGCATCACTGTCTTCATCTATAAATGGTACATCATTTATGGGAATGTTGGGAGAGTAAATTTCACTCGCGTGTGTGTGTGCGCACACGTTTATAAACACTGCCACCTAATAAACCAGTACTCAATAAACGTTAGCAAATATTGTCATTATTATTGTTATTATCATCATAGTTTTCATCACTATTATGCTGAGTCATGAAAAATGAATAAGGCTCACCTATGAAAATGAGGCATAACGAAGTGAGGTTATTGCATGAACATGTAAGAGAGGGTCTGCTGAAGGGTGGGGAGACATTAAGAGGAGACACTATGGAACGAGGACAGTTCTCTTCAAGGAAACTGCTCCCCAGGAGTCTTGGTTGCAGCAGCATTTTCCCTCCGTTTCAAGGGCTTCCTGTTTTCTCCCTGTCTGTCTTTGTGTTCCTCTTTCCCAAACACCAGCCTCCATGTCTCACCAAGTCCCAGTAACAAACGGCATGCTTCATAGTGCTCGCCATACGATAAGAAAGTGATTATGGTTCAAGTTTAAAACAAGCTCCCACTGGGTAGAAATCTGAATGCCCAAAGCTATCTGTATTACTTTAAAAAAAAACTGAAGTGTAAATAACACATATTTGTTCCAGATGTGCAACATAATGCTACAGTAGTATATTTGTTAAATGATCACCATAATAAATCTAGTTCACATCCACTGCCACAAATACTTACAATTTTTTCTTGTAATGAGAAATTTTAAGATCTACTCTCATACTAATACTTTTAATCAGACTACCTCCAACTCAAGCCACAAATATCCCAAATTATATGTAAATATTTGCCTATATCCAACTTTTAAAATTTTTTCTCAGGAAGAAAAAGTATTTTTCATTAGATTTTCAAAGCAGCCTTTTACCCCCCCAAAATTTGCTATAAAAGTTAGTGATAACCCCAGGCCATCTTTTACTATATCTATGGATGAAGAATAGCTTTCCAGCAACTTAAAAATGATTTACATGTCTTTTATACCTATTTTAGTTTTTAAGTTTATGGTATTTTCAGGGGCACTGAATTCCACAAGGATATTCTCCATTATAGAAAGTAATTATTTCTATTTTCTTGTTCCAAAATATCAAGTATCAAGCTGTATCTACAAGTCTAGCATTACAAGATCCTGGGAACAAGTCTCCAGTGAGAAGCACTGTAGGGCATTTCTTCTCAAATTATTTGTGAGAAAAGACCTTTTTTTATTTCTTCTTCCCTCTGATCTATTGCAGAGGTACACTGTTGTAAAATAAAATTTTTAACTGTGGCCACATATTTCTTTTAAAAATATCTAAATGCCTACTCTTAATTTTTATACTTACTTGAAATAAGTAAAAATAGTTCAGAGATCAGAAGCAGTCTTTGGACCACACTTTGAGCATCATATTATAAGATCCTGGAGATAGAATGCATGTTCTTCTATGGGCATTTGTGTTTTATAGGGGAATTGTGTAAGACTGAAAGTCTCACATGTTTCAGAGAACTTAGCTTTTTTTTTAGTTGTGGTAAAAAACACATAAGGAGGAGAGAGCAGCAGAGGATGAGATGGTTAGATAGCATCACTGACTCAACAGACATGAGTTTAAACCAACTCCTGGAGACAGCGAAGGACAGAGAAGCCTGGAGTGCTGCAGTCCACGGGCTTGCAAAGAATGGACATGAGTAACAGCCGATAGCGCCTGAACAACAACAACAATAAACGCATAACATGAGATCTACCTTCTGAACGCATTTTTAAGCACTGAATACAGTAGTGTTACATATAAGCCCAGTGTGGTACAGCAGGTCTCGAGAGATTCTCCATCTTGTGTGGCTGAAACTCTGTACCCATTGAACAGCAATCTCCCCCATCTTCCCTCCCCTCACAAAGAAATTGTTTAATTGTTTTTACTGGTAAAAATTCAATCTGTGAAAGAGATAGGAACAAGAGGCAAGTTCCCAGTCCCGTCTTAGTGTGTTTACGGAATGATGAAGTCAGATAGATGGTAGATATAATCAGATGGCAGGCCTCAACAAGAATAATGAATACAATAAAGTGAATTCTGTTTCTCTTCCCTTTGCATGTCTGAAAATACCATGATGATGGGAGCTGAAGTGGTTTTTGTTCACATAAAAGATCAGCTATTACCTTTGTGTATAGCTTTCATTTTTATAAGCTTCCCTTTTAAGACATGCAAGTGGTGAATGGGCACATGAAAAGATGCTCAACATTGCTAATTATTAGAGAAATGCAAACTAGAACTTCAGTGAACTATGACCTCATGCTAGTAAGAGTGGCCATTGTAAAAAAAAAAATCTGCAAATAACAAATGCTGGAGAGAATTTGGAGAAGAGGGAACCTTCCTATACTTTTGATGAGAATGCAAATAAGTGCATTCACTATGGAAGACAGTTCGGAGGTTCCTTACAGAGTTGCTATAAGCATTCTTTTAAAAATCAAGATCTTAATGCAACCCAGATTCAAACATATTTCATTTAATCCTTATCTTATGATCAATACTTTTATAAGAATGTGAAAATTGAAGTCAGATTTCACAGTGATTTCTACATCGCAAGACAGGGAACATAAAAATAAATCCAACACAAAGCACTGTAGAATCAGCATTTTATAAAACACACAGAAAATAAAAATTAAAGATGTTAAGAGAAAGAAGAAATACCTTTTCCCCTAAGGATAGAGATGAAGGCTAATGTGAATAACTTTTTATTTGTGTTGCTTCATTACTGAGTTATCTTGTGCGTTGTAATCTTTAGAGGAAAATAATTTACTATTTTTTTATAATGAGACATACAACATTTCATCGTGTAATGATTCAAAAACTACAGATCAGATATGTTAAGAGCAGGAGATGAGACTGAAGATGTTAGAATTAAAAGATAACTAGGGGACCAGGTCTTGGAGATGTTCTGGATGGATTATTTTAAAAACACATACCTTTATAAATGGGCAGAAGAGAAAGTCCTAAAGTAAGTTATCTTAAAGCACGGTGGAGTTTGGAGAATACGAGAGAGATCATACCAATTTTCTTACATAAAACAGGCAAGGTTGAGAAATCCACCTACATATCCAAAAGAAAAGAAAATGTGGTAATCTGAAAGATGTGGGTAAAGGAATGGAATTGGGGAGGAGGAAAAAGGACATTTTAGAATATGCATTACTGTGAATGTGTTGACAAATCTCCAAGATATGAATGATGTACTTTTCATTGAGGACCCAGCTAAAGCCAAATAGCATAGTTCAGTCCTGGTCGTCAACAACACTGGGGGAATTCCTTGAATTGATTACGGGGCAATTCCCTGAGTCATCTGCAGTGCGCCTAAGGTAACTGAACCATTCTTGTACAGATGACATTGCACGAAGTTATGCTTGCATTTCTCTCCTAAATAAACATACTATGTGATTATGTAAGTGTAGGAAATGACTCAGAGCCTGTATCCATGAGACTGAAATTCTTAGTTTTGAAATGGTTTATCTCTCTGATTAGATTTATTAAAGATACACTTAGAGTACTGTCTGATCATGGTCATTAGTTTGGTGAAAACTATCCTCTGGATAAAAGGCAAAAGCAAAGTTAAAAACATAGTTATCTGATCAGATCTTATCATAGTCTAACTATTTACAACATGGTGAGTTGGCAGCTTACTCCTAAACACTAGGCTCACAGCTCTGCCGACTGAGTTAGTGCTACCTGGACATCCCATCAACTCTTCAAATAAAAGATATAACAAAAACATTCATTGATTATCTTACCTTCTCCAGCTTTTTTGCTTCCTGTATTCTCAACTCCTGTTGATATCATTCTTACTCCAGGCACTCAAGCTAAAAATGTCAAAGTGAATGTAGCTGTCAAGTTCATGTGATTTTGCAATAATAATGACAGAGAAATGAACAATATTTCCTGAGCACTGACTCTGAGCCAGGCTCGATGCTAAAACTTTGTATGTATTGTTTCATCAAATTCTCACCTTCGTACAAATCTGTAAGCAATAGCTTTGTTATACGCCTTAGTAAACTGAGATGGCCAAATCTATGCAGTTGGTATGGATGGCATCTATTTTCCTCAGAGGACCATGCACCTGCAAAAGCTGGAAAGTGTTGAGTGTCTGAGGAAAAGCAAAATCTTTCCTAAAGGATAGTAGGAACTGGGCTAGAAACATGGGAGTAGCCAGGCTGAAAAGGAATTTGAGTCTCATGAAAATAAGTTTGACTTTTGGCCTGGAGTCCAATGAGCTTGACTTTTGGTAGAGGTGGGTGGGTGGAAGGTGTGTAAACTTGAAGGCACAGCATCTGTTTGCACAATGTTTTGATAATATTCTCTGAAGAAACAAGCTGTCTTTATTTCTGGTTTACATCAGCATGATTAAGGAAATTAGAATGCATAGCAAGATCAGATAGATTATCCTGCTTCAAATAGTTCTGTGGTTAATGTGGACTCTAAGACCAAAGTATTTGCAAGATTTGAAAAAGTATAAAGATGTGGTAAGCGTCGAAAGAACTTTAAACAAAAGCTAGCAATATATAATTTCCTTAGTAAACTGAGATGGCCAAATCTATGCAGTTGGTATGGATGGCATCTATTTTCCTCAGAGGACCATGCACCTGCAAAAGCTGGAAAGTGTTGAGTGTCTGAGGAAAGGCAAAATCTTTCCTAAAGGATAGTAGGAACTGGGCTAGAAACATGGGAGTAGCCAGGCTGAAAAGGAATTTGAGTCTCATGAAAATAAGTTTGACTTTTGGCCTGGAGTCCAATGAGCTTGACTTTTGGTAGAGGTGGGTGGGTGGAAGGTGTGTAAACTTGAAGGCACAGCATCTGTTTGCACAATGTTTTGATAATATTCTCTGAAGAAACAAGCTGTCTTTATTTCTGGTTTACATCAGCATGATTAAGGAAATTAGAATGCATAGCAAGATCAGATAGATTATCCTGCTTCAAATAGTTCTGTGGTTAATGTGGACTCTAAGACCAAAGTATTTGCAAGATTTGAAAAAGTATAAAGATGTGGTAAGCGTCGAAAGAACTTTAAACAAAAGCTAGCAATATATAATTGTTTACAAAATATAAAAGCAATAAAGATTGACCTAGAAGTAGTTGCTTTAATGAAATACGGTAGCCAAGTCAACCTATTATGGATAATTAGTAGATAATTTCATTAAACATTTTGGAAATAAACAATTTCTTATCAGTCAATAATGTTTTTGATCAATGTGATCAAAACCTCTGTTCACCTTTCTTAGAAATCTCACTCTTTTAGAAAAATCCAAACATATCTTTGCACATGTGTTATTGTTTTATATAAGATGTGAAATCAAACAAAAATATCAAAATACCTCAATTAATCTGCAGCCTCACATTTCATATTCTAAATAAGGATTACTTTTCCTTTAGGTTTTATAAAAATGGCTATTAAAATATTTCAAGCACAACGATGAGTTTTGTTGACTTTACCAAAGCAAAAGAGCTATTAGTTATCATACCAACAAAATGGGTTTTTTGGGGACTAGCAGAGAAATTGCAATTTGGGACAAGCAAACTATGGGGAATTGTAGACAAGTCCAGAGACCAGAAGGAGATAGAGTCTCGTTTTTAGAAAGGGAGAGGCCACTGCCGAGGGTTGTGATGGTTCTTGGGTTGCAGGCAGTAGGCAGCTTGTTGCTGGCTCAGAGCAGTCACTCTTCCTGCTGATATCATTAACTGCCATGAAGGCTAGGACCCTAGCCGCTCCCCCTTCAGGGCTTCCTGACTTCATTTAAATAAGGTTGCCTTTATTCACTGTCACAGACATCACTGGGTGATTAAGCACAGAACAGTTGCATTACAAGAATACTTTCAAAGCACCAAGTAGCTTCTATTGGGAGACTGGAAAATAACTTACATACATTACAGAATAGCAGTTCCTGTCTTGCATTCCATGCATGTGAGAAAGAAGTCTGAAGCCCAGAAATGCATGTAGTTGGAAGACCAAGAATTCGATGGGCATGACATTTTCTAGCCAGATAAAAATACACATGCATATGTCTGTATGACTCATTCCACACAACTCAAAATTGCTAGAGAGTGGGTGTAGCTACGAATATTACTGCACAATGTAGTTTTCAAAGAAAAAAAAAAAACAAATTTGGCAGCTTCTGATCTCCCCGGGTAACTTTAGATTAATTGAAATTTTAATTAATAAAATGCCCAACCTAAAATATATTAAAGACATGTCAAGTGCTGGAGAACAAATGAAGGAGAATGAATAATAGAAAACCAAAGTGGTAACTGTTCTATAAATGGACATTTTTTGGTCTGTCTGTCTGACTACATTTTAACTAAGTTAGGCCATGTCTCAGCCAGTAAATTGGAATAGACAATTGATTTATTTTTTGCCACTATTTCAATTTCACTGTATTTCATATTTAAATGGAAAGATATAGATTGTCCCAATAATTTTTTCAATTTCAAACATCTCTTTGTAAATTTTGCTTGATTATTAGCTGTAAATAAGCTAGGTTTAATAGATAGAAAAAAATAATAGCAATGGGCTTGACAGCTATTATTTTCCCTTTGTGTTTTCATAAGAGTTTCCTTATGCCAGGTACTCTGGGACGTGACTTAACATGCATTATCTCTTTTAAACCTAAAAGAAAAACATATGAACTTTTTATTATTATTATGGATAAAGAGACAAATAAACAATGTAAATGATGTGATGTATTCTACACAGCTAGTAAATGACATAGGATTCAGTCCTAGGTTTGCATAATACTAGATTCCTTCTCTAAACTTGTATAATATTGAGTATCTCTAAAAATGACTGCTTAAATTTAGCAAAGACTATTGAGGGTGAGGGTCATTGGGCTTTCCTGACATTCAGTTGGTAAATAAACCACCTGCAATACAGGAGACCCCGGTTCAATTCCTGGGTCTGGAAGATCCGCTGTAGAAGGGAGAGGCTGCCCACTCCTGTATTTTCAGGCTGCCCTTGTGGCTTAGCTGAGAAAGAATCCAACCACGATGCAGGAGACCTGGGGTGACCTCCGGATTGGGAAGATCCCCTGGAGAAGGGAAAGATTCCCATTCCACTATTCTGGCCTGGAGAATTCCTTAGATTGTATAGTCCAGGGAGTCACAAGGAGTCATACACAACTGAGAGATTTTCACGTTCACTTTCACCCTTCTTGTAATTTTTTTGTAGAAAAAAATTAATGTAGCAAAACCAATATTATTTCATTTTTTACACAAAGGAGCATGCAAGCATAGCAATGTACAGAAGCTGTGTAGGAAGCATGTTGTTAGAAAGTTTATAAGTGGACTAAATTTTATATATAACAGAGCCCAGCACACAGGTTTTTGTCTTTGTAAATCGCTTCATCAAAAATTTTAAAGATTAGATGGTTATTAAAGATTAAGTGCAGCTAGAGCAATAGTGAATGAACCTACTTCAGGAGGCCATGGGTATGTGAGGGAGAGAAAACAGGACCAAAACATAGAAACAGGCTCCATGGTTCATTTCAGCGCATCTTAATTGTCAATGTCAGTCACTGAAGCTTTTGCAACTGCTCTTGATTATGAAATTGGCATCCTGAACCAGAAAGGCTTCGCTTGCTGTCCTGCCATACTTTGTATTGACTTGGGCATAAGTGAGCTTCAATCAGCAGATATTTGATTTGTGCATGTTGAATATAGCAAAAACCAAAAAAGAAAGCAACATGACTTTTCTCTAACACTGTAATCTTCTAACTTAACCTGGTAGCCTTCATTCACAAATTCACAGTATGTTTGTGATCTGCAAAATATTTCACACTGCTCTTACTTCTCCTGGTTTCATATAGCTGTGTGTGCCTGTAATCTAAGTTGCTTCAGTCTTGTCTGATTCTTTGCGACCTCATGGACTATTGCCCGCCAGGTTCCTCTGACCATGGGCTTCTCCAGGCAAGAACACTGGAGTGGGTTGCCATGCCTTCCTCCAGGGGATCTCCTGACCTAGGGATGGAGCTGGTGTCTCCTGCAGCTCTGGCATTGCAGGTGGATTCTTTACTGGTAAACCACTGGGAAATTCCCTTCACGTAGCCAAGTTAATCTAAATAATGAGTTTAGCTTTTATTATGAGTCAGATTTGAATTTTTCTGTTGTCTCACAGTTGCTCTTCATTCCACAGATTGTAAATACTCCCCAGATTGTAAATATAAGCTTATTAAGGGCATGATGTGTCATATTAATTCATTTACTTGTGCATATAGGCACTATTTTATTCTTACAAAAGGATTTATTATCATAAAATTATTTACCATTAGCACATCCTTTTCCTGTTTTAAATTAGAATAAGTTACTCAACCTCCCTGAGCTTCAGTTTTCTCACCTCTATATGGTAGACAAAGTGAATTATAATAATGCTGAAAATTAAATGATGAAATTTCTGAAAAGTACCTCATATGTGGTCTGGGAGGTTCTCAGCACATTGTGGTTCCTGTATGTCTTTGAGTAAGGTCTTGGTAAATGCTGATTTGGATGTTAACAACTGGTTAGTTTTATCAACATGGCCAAATAACTGTTTTGTTTAGACATAGCCATTTACTTCTCTAAGTTCTTAATAAAATTGATCTTTAAAAAATTAAAGTAGATTTTGGTCACTTGATACAGTTAGGAAAAAGTATTAAATACCTTGTAGAAAATACTTTTGGAAAAGGAGAGAAGGAAATGAATGAGGTTCAAGGCTAGAGGGAACATAAAACAAGTAGGACCTTGCACTGACCAGTGATAATAGTGCCACAGACTAAGAATTATGAGTTATTTCATCTCCTCTTTTTAAGAAATTGGGAGGGGAGAGGGAAAAGACACAACAACAAACAACAAAAATATATTCATCTTGTGTGCAGGCATCAAAATATATAAATACATATATATATTCGTATGTAAGTAAATATAGTAAATACAGTTGACTCTAGAACAAAAAGAATTTGAAATGCATGGGTTCACTTATATGAGAATTATTCTCAATAGTAAATTTTACGGTATGATACAACTGATGGCTGGTTGAATCCTTGGATATGAAGGAACAGTGGAGAGTACGTTAT